AAGAATGGATTCCATGTTAGTGATAGTCTTCTGTACATCTAAGGCTACTGGGCGGCCAAATAGTGAAACACAGAAGCTAAGATTATCATGAATTGTTAAGGAGTGGGATATTTCTTCATTGTCAGTAATTTTGGACAGTTTCAGCTGACTCCTGGAGGTGTTATAAGACAGGGCCCAATTAGATGGTAGAGAATTTTGCTGCTTTTGTAGTTCTTGTTTATAGTAATAAAATTGTTTTCTTTTATAACCTGATTGTTTTATCTTTGTCAAAGAAAATTTGCGTGGCATTATTAACTTGATCTGTAATATATAATAAAAAAATAAATATTGCACTACAAAATGTATTACTATAATACCTGATGTGAGTAATATTCAATGTTAATACTGCAGACTGTTCAGCCAAGTGCACACTTTTAAATTACCTTGCCAATTCAAATGATAACTCCTATTGTATTTTTAACTTTTATTATTAGACTGCATTAAAGTATATACCTGTGACTTTTATCGTATTGAACAGTCAAAAAACCTTATAAGTAACAGCAAGAGTGTAAGCAGTTTGCACACTGCGGCTGCAGGTCGGATCATGAACTATCACGACGCCTTAGCAACCATGCCAATACCGTATAATATCTATTTAAACATGCTTCTCATTTGTGAAAGAGTGGAGTTTTCCGAGATGTTAGACGGGACATGTATAACTTCAAGAAACATTAGAAGTTCTAGCCTATTAGCCTAGTCCAATAACTATCTACCGTTCGATGTAGCACATCATAAAGTAACCGTAGCCTTGATTTAAAGTTTATAGCGGTCTTTTGCAACAAGTTATAGGTACAACAAAATTTTTTCATTTTTCGCCCTTTTTCTGTAGTAACAAACTCATGCTATATGGATTCTAACCCTAACTAGCATCATTCGATATGCAAATGGAAACTCTTTCATATGATTATAAAGATATTGCATTTTACTCTAGCTTGTTTTCAAAAAAGGGATTATAATGACAAAAAATACATTTTATGGTTTTAAAAGTGCCATAACATTAACATGGTAAAATTATCTATACAATAAAAAACAGAATTATAAAGAGGAAACATTAGGCTTCTTGATGCATTAATTTCACTTGCATAGGAACACTTGTTTGCGAGATATTGCTCCTAAAAGAAAGAAAATCAAGGGTAAATTGTGACAAAAAATTTCAACGAGCCTCTGTCAGCCTAGCAACAATACAAATGAATGGAGGTTGGGCTACGCCCACGCTTCCGTTTCCAATCCCTTTCATTTACTCTATTATCTATGGTGGAGCATGGCTTGATTGAGCCACACCTTCATTGCAGCCACACCTTTGCAGCAATGCAGCAAACATACTGAAACTTCTTCTCTGTATAAAAAAGCAAACAATTCTCTGTCTCAAAGCATTCACTAAGCCTTAATAAATCTAGTACAAATTAAAGGAAAATAATTAGTGAAAGTTTTGAGATAGAGAAGAACCTGCAGCATGTACTTGATTTATTAAAACTTAGTGAATGTTTAGAGACAGTCAAACTGAGAATGTTTTTTTAGACAGAGAAGAAGCTTCAGCATGTTTGCTGCACTGCAGCCACACTTTTACATTGCTGCAACATGCAGCAGCAATGCAGATTGCTGAGGTTCCTTTTCTGTCTCAAAACTTTAACTAAAGGGCTGGCCAGCATAAAACATAGTCTTACAACACTGTTACAACAATTGGGGAGATAGAAATCAAGTCCATCTCTAACACATTTATAATTATAATGCTAATTATAAATAATAAAATTAAAAGTGGTCCACGTGCAATTATAGCATATTTACTTTAATCATGTAAATCAGAGAGTACTTACTCAAAATTTTAATTATTGCTGTGGAAGCATCCATGTTGTAGGTGTTGATTGAATTTTGTTGTTATGGTAATGTTCAATAATTTCATTAAAGGGAATTAACTATAATAACTACTAAAAACATGGCGGAAGGAAGTAAACTCAAAGCGTCTAGAGACAGGAATGGATCCAATTAGTTATGTGGGTGGTTTTATATCTGTAATACGCATGCGCATTACTCCCTCATGGACAAAAAATCACAAAATGGCTGCCACCAACTGAGTGTTTTTCATATTTCTAGTGCTGTCTTTGTGGTTCCAGGCC